GTTTATTTACTTTGATGAGCCATGTTGTCCATCTTCTCTGACTGCTACAATCTTTCCCATCTTCTTCATTGACTTTCCCAGATATCCAAGGGGAGGGACATGATGGAGACCTCCAGTTTCGACTGTTTCTCAGGACTGTCTTTGCATCCTCTCCCATCTATTGATGGAGGAAGCCTCTCTGATAACAACTAGGCAAAGTCAACAATCCACCAATCTATGAGTATAGCAGTATATCATTAAGAATAATTTCATTGGTATTTATTTAGAACAGTTGTGTTTGATTCTACTCTTGTTTTCAAAGCTTATGCTATGATGGATGCTTGGATATTCACTGTGATGATGATACACACATGAATATTTCACAGTGCTTTAGGGTTGCCTAGTCACTTTTTTCTTGACAACATCCAATTAAAACTTTGCAATTTAATTATGGTAATGCAAATTTGATATGATGACATCCTACTCAAAAGCTTTATTCAATTCCTGAAACTTTATGAAAACTGAAAATCTGAGAATCAAGGCCTTGAACTTGAACCCAGGTTTCTTGACATACTATGAAGAATAGCTTCTAATTTCAGGAGAATATAGAATATTTTCCCCTGTAGTATCAAGTGAGTGTTGTTGTGAATTTAATCTTAATGGCCAACAGTTTCTGTAATTACAAAGGATATGCAGTAGATAGTTTTACTTTTCACTTCTGACAATACAGTGCCCAAGGTGACATAGATAATACTGTAGAGAATGGTGGCAATTGTTTATTTATTTATGAAAATAACCACCAGAAAGAAATTGCCTATAGAATATAGTTTATTGACTTGATCTGTGATTTCTGAATTCTATTGCTAAGAAAAATCTTGTAGTCAACAAGCACAGTGCATTAGATTTCCCTTGGCTTTCTCTGGCCAGAGTCCAGTAATCTATTTTATCCCATTGCTTTCAATTCTAATATCTTTCTTCCAAAAGCTATTTAATAACATCAGTCAAATGGGCTAGGTTCCCTCGCCTTATCTCTCAAAGGTATAAATGCTATTGTAATTGGCTTTTTAACAGTGTTACAGAATTTGTATAAGTGGTCAGTGTTGTCTTGAGTGTGCTGAATTCATTCATTCTTGCTCTAGAGACTTGCAGATACCCAGACCCTAGAACAGCTCATCTGCCTTTCTTCAAGACTTCACTCCATAGCACTGTCAAACAGAGTCTTCAGTGAGCAAACTCAGCTGCAAGTGTATTGCGTTAACTTTGCAACTGAAACTCCTCACAGACCCAGAAACCTGAGAACTTCCTCTGGTTTTCTCCCTCCATCCCGTGTTCCGACAGAGCTGTGATTAATTTCAAATTGATGCTTATTACCATCAGGAGTGAAATAGCTATTCTAATTCAGCACTCATTTATCATTCTTTGAAAGATGCAATATGTTTACATAAACTAGCATAATGCGAAACAAACCACTAGTTACAAAGTGCTTTTGATTTGTAATTCAACCATGGATTCTTCTAGCAGCATTAGTCAAAGGCCCGGATTTTACTTCTATAGTCACAGCCCTAAGATTTGATTTTAGAAAACCTATCTTTATTGCATTTTCTACTTCTAAAGGATTCTGTGTTTCAAATTAGAGTCAGACCGGTTTTGTTCCTCCACGGTGCTTGGCACTTAAACTAGAAGATTAAAATCAAGATAGGAAACTCTTCTGTTGGGAATTATCCCCTGTCCAGCTCTGCGTATGTGTGTGTGTGGGGGTGGTGGGCAGGGCGTCCTAAGATTTCACATATTAACTGTTTGTTAGCAGACCAGGCATATTATTATTAGTTTGGAGTGAAAGTTAATGACAAATGTATTTCCAATTTAGCTGATTTGTTTTCCTCATCTAGGAGGGAATTGAAACTATTTGCACATGATTATAAAATTTCCTATTAAATTTAAGAGAGGCCACACACAGAAACCTACATTATCTCCTTTGTGGCTTCCTTCTACTTCTGTTGCCTCTGCTCGCAGGAGTTGTCTCATGATCCATCCGAATTGAAGGCATGTTGGCTGCTGTCGAGAGTATAAATACAGAATGAAATTATTGGTAGGCTCTCATTTTCTTAGTAGGCACAAAAGAAACACAAATTAAGGTGAAAAATCCAGAAATTAGTTTCCATTTGTATCTCAAGTTTAGTCTAAATTTGTGTGGGTGGAGGAAATATTTTGGGAAGTTGCTATAAATAATTCAGAAATGAGACCTTTTATAATGAAATACGGAAGGCAACAGAGAGAAAGAAAAGAATGATCAGGACTTTGCTGTTGCACATTTGGGGAAATTAAAACAATATATTTTTAAAAATATTTGGGATAATAAAACGGATTAAAGGAAAAGCAAACTGAATGAGGTGAAGTGCAAACTGGGAAGGTTAAAATCCAAGGGGCAGGTTTATAAAAACCAATTACACCAGAAAACTGATTACAGCTTTAAAACATGTTTCTACTCCCCCATTATTTATTGTTTAATAAAGAAAAATAACACAAGGAGCTACATAGACAATTGAAACAAACTTTGCAGTAAAATCTCCCCAGTGATCATTATGGTCCCTAGATAAAAAATGGGGTTTATTTAGAGGGACCTTGATTCTTCATACAGTAAAGGTCTGAGCTCAGGATGGGTTTTACTATATGCAGTGCTGTGTGTGTTTTTTTTTTTTTTGGATGTGTGTGTGATGGAATGGGTGTGTGCATGTGTGTTCACATGTACATGAGAACAGGTATGTGTATATGTGCACAGGAATGTGGAAGCCAAAGGTTAATGTTGGGTGTCTTCCTCCATTGTTCTCTAGATTACCAGTTAGGTCATCTCACTAGTCAGCTTGGGTAAAACGTTCTATGTCTTTGTATCCCAGGAATCATAGTGTGACAGCTGGACTGCCATAACTACTTGGCATTTAATAGGAACAGGGGCCCAAGCTCCAGTACTCACGTTTTTGTGGCAAGTCCTTTATGCACTGTGCTATCCCTGTTGTGTAGTGAGCAAACTTCTTCCTTTCTTTTCTTTATTTCTCTTCATCTAAATTAGTGGCTTTTATTGCCTTTGCATATACCGAAGTAAGGTTTTTGGATACTATCCATTCAAATTTCAATTACTTTGGAAAGTGTCATTACTTCCCATAATGTTTGTAGCAATTTACATTCCCATCAGTATACAAAGATTCCTTTTTGCCACATTCATACCTGTTCTTTTTATCTCTCTGTCTTTTTCAAATAGTATTCTAATAGGTGTGAAGTAGTAACACACTGTGGTTTTAATTTGCATCTCCCAGGTGATTATTGCCATTGAACATTTCTAATATTTATTTTTTTTACTGAAAGTAGATTTTTAAATACAATTTACTGTTGTAAGTTTTCCCTCCCGCAAGCTCTCCAACCCTACCCACTTCCCCACCCATCAAAATCCACACCTTTCCCTTTCTCTCTCATCAGAATACAACAGAAATCTAAAATGTTAATATTAATAGTAATAAGAAAAGAGAGGCATATGCATTTTCATCAGAGTTGGCAGGCTGCTCTGAAGTATGGATGCAGGAAGGTTAATCAATCTCTCTCTCTCTCTCTCTCTCTCTCTCTCTCTCTCTCTCTCTCTCTTCTATTCCTCCTCTTCCCCCATCTTCTTGCATGCAACTTTTCCACTATCACTAAAAGGTCCTTTGAATATTGTTACAGACAGTAGTTTTATACTAAGGCATTTCAAATATTTATAATTTATTGCTTTTGGCTAACATCCATTTCAGTTTCTAAAGAACAAAATTATTATGACCCTTAAACCAATTAGATATATTTAAAGTCCACGAGGGTTAAAATGAGCTTTTGAGTATATAAAATGATTTCCAAATGAATTTGATATCCTAGAAGAACATGTCTCCTGTTAATTCCGTTCTACCTTTCATGTAATTAAGTAAAAATAAATAAGTAATGATTTGAAAAGTGAAGTCTCTTGTGAAGCCATAAGAAAAAAGTCATCTTCCCAAGAACTATTCTTGAATTATCCTTCTAAAGAACAGCATTGTTCCAAACAAAGAGAAGAATAAAGGGCCCTGCACAAGGCTGTCCAGCTCAGAAGCCTTTGCATGTATGTTCTTGAATCTGGAGAACTGCAGTGCCATCTGCCTTTAATTACACTCAGAGGAATACATCTGAATGTTAGGGTTGTATTTAAACATTTCAACACACACAAAGATATTATGTTCTGGGAATATAACACATGCTGTTTATTTTTAACGTAATTATAGTTGTCTTGATGGTTGTCTTTGAAATAAATTATTAAAAAGAAGTCATTCGTGGAAAAAATTGAAATTATTCATGGTTCAAATCATTTATCTTAGGAAAAATCCAAAATAAGCTTTTCAAACAAATGTTTCTATTTGTTTTAGGACTCCTCAAATTGACGTGGGTTTCGGGTTAATTGTTAAGATGCTTACTATTCCCGGAGATTAACATTAAGTTGCTGTTGCTATTATTTCATATTGATAGGAATGCGGTTGGGAGGTGGCTTGCTTATTAAAGTGGTCACTTGAGTTCAGACCTATAGACCACAAAGCAGAGTGCACTGTCAGACAAAGTCATCACACCAGCAATCCCAGCAGAGGTGTGGTGAGAGGCAGAGGCCACCCTATATGCTTTGGCCAGCCTAACTAACTTGGCAAAGTTCCAGGCCAATCAGAAACCTTTCCTCCAACAAAAGGTGGAAGATGCTTGAAGACTGACACTTGAGGTTTCCCTCTTATACACACTTATACAGACTTATACACACTTGCTGTCCATATGTAAAACCCACACACTTACACTCATACACTTGACACACAAGCACATGCAAACCATACTACTAATAATAAGAAAATGTATTTACAAGTTTTTAATTAAATTGACAATGTGTTGTGAATACAGAAAAAAAGGAGTCTATTTTCATTGCCTTGCATCTCCTGAAATCAAATAGCTGTGTACTAAAAGTCACCTTTACTCTCTGTGTTTTGCAGATTGTCTTAAATTTTACCACAATGGACCTATACAAGAGTAGTTTGTGCTGGTATGACTACATTGAAGTCAGAGATGGTTACTGGAGGAAGTCACCTCTCCTTGGTAAGAGATGACTCATCTCCTCTGTGGCTGCATATAAATTTTATCCAGAGTAGAGGCAGATGGTGTTTGTAAGAGTTATCTGGGAGTTGGAATCCATATGAATGAACTTGCTTATACTTTTAACTATTTTTTCAATCATATCAAAAACTGCTCAAGGACAAATGGATGAATAGATTGAGTCACTGGTTTGCAGTAAGTTAAATATGGGATAGATTATTGGATCTGAACACAATGATTGAGCATGGCTTCCCAAAGATTATGCTTCTTATGATTCAACACAGCATTTATTTCTGCATTTGAAATTTAAGGATAAAAGTTTTGATAGATTGCATATGGATGTGGTGTGTTTGTGTGTGTGTGGTCTCTTTCCTAATGAAGCAGAGTGAATCATCAGGTACATGTTAGTTAGATGACTTACTATGACAGAAAAATGTGCTCCAACTATTGATATCTCAGTCTTGTTTCTTGGAGAATCTTTCTGAGATTAACAAGAGGCCTTTGGAATCTGAGTCTGAAACTGCACCTCGGATTGGTGTGCACGAATGTCTTCTCCCACCACTGAACTTCTACTAAGAGGTGAGAGGTGCTGTGGGCCCCACCACAGGCCAGCAGCTCCTCAGCCTTCCTCTCCTTCCTTTCTAAGATTGAGGCCGTTCCTTCACTGTTAGTCTTAGCATTGCTTAGTTGAGCATCAATGCAGGACTGATCTTTTTTCTTAACATCCAAAACCTTCTGAATGGACATTGTTTTACTTACAATGGAAGCAGCCTGAGTAAGTCTGTGGAAATATTTCAAAAGAAGAACCAAAAAGAATTGAACTGATGTGATGCTTTAAGTTGAGGAGAACATCTGTTTTCTATATCTAGTTTCTCAACCCAGATGAAATAATGATTGCATGTATCATTGAAATCCCAGAAAGCACATAAGTGGCTTCACATTGGAGAATGGGATCTGAATCTCCATTCTGAAAAGCACTTCATGTGATGGCACCCCCTGTGTCACTGGCTCAGTGCAGAGTGTTCCACCAGACTATCTCAGTGAGACATGGAGAGCCTGCCAAAATCTCTCCATAATATTCCTTGAAAGGCTTAACTCAGAATGGAGTGGCTCAGATTGATAGCACTGAACTCACCAGGAACTAACCAGGAGTTAGAACAGTAGAAAGTCAGATTGCCAGGATGCATTTGTGGAAACTCAAGTTGGAGGATGCATTTAGACAGATTTGTTGACATTTCACATGTGTATGACAGCTAATATAGCACTGTCCTTTGCCTCGTCCTTTTAATTTCATGGGCAGTTTTGGAAGTTATTTCTTTACAGATTAGTTTTTACTATGAATTTACTTTATTCAAATCATCTATGAGTTTTTAAATTTAAATTTATATATATGATTATTTTCAAAACTACATAAACATGCATAGTAATGCTGAGAGTTTCTGTTCTCTCTCATATGTTTATCCAGCCTACTATATATATTTACACATTGTGGCTATAAATATGAATAAAGCCTAAGAAACCAGAAAAGAGGCCAATAGGAGGTAAAAGTAGGTAATTGAGGAGGACAGGATTTGGAACAAATGACACAGAGATTATGAGAAAGAGCAATTACCAATCTGATCACTCCTACAAGGGTACAATTTGCGCCATACACAAAGAAACTGTTCCCCTCATCAAAGTAATGATAATATCTTAGAACACACAGTGTAAGATATCCCTGGTATCTTACATTAACATATGCTCCATCTCAGATGGGAGTGTGCTTATACAGGAAGATCAAGGGTAGCAGGGAGGTTCCGAAAAGATGAGACAGAAGGAAAACCTACTAAACACTATTTATTCAAAATTTCCATGATGATATTTAATAGTTGTATGCTAATTTAACAATAAAAATAATCAGAATGGAGTGCAGTATAGTATGGTTATAGAGCTATAATATATTTAATGTGATTACAGATTATAATATATACATATATAGTATAATGATAGAGTTTTAATATACACATGTTAAAAATTTATTTCACATGCAATCTCAAAGTTACAGGTAACAACAAGTGAGCAATGAATTTGTGGAAGGATTGTGTGGAAAGGAAGAGCTAATTCTGTTATTTTATCCATTTTCTCTTAATAACTCATGCATATGCATATAGAATATGATCAGCATTCAGAATAAATTTGATAATGCTTTTCTGCTTATAATACCATGGACTACCATACCTTTATCTGAGATGGAACATATGTTAATGTAAGACACCAGAGGCAACTTACACTGTGTGTTCTGAGATATTATCATTATGTGGATGAGGGGAAAAACTTCTTTGTGTATGGAGCAAATTGTACCCTTGTAGGAATGATCAGGTTGATAATTGCTTGAATTCTCAGGACAACTTGTGACTTTTTCTGTTTCCCGTAGAGTCATGGCACTGCCTCATTGCATCAAGTGATCTTGTATGAATTTTGGGGCTTAACTCTTAATTCTTTATGTGATAACAATACTGGTGTTAGTTGATTGAAGGTTTTCAAGTGGATCTGAAGATACTGCTTTATTTCTTCAACTTCATTAGGTCAAATTGTGGCTCTAATTGCTGGAAATATGAGCCAAATGCATATAAATATATATATATATATATTTATATACATACATGTGGAGCACAAATAGAGCATAGTACATATTCATATTTAGGAGCTTCTCTTTACCCTTTTATTTCTTTTAGGTAGATTCTGTGGGGACAAAGTGGCTGGAGTACTTACGTCTACAGACAGCAGAATGTGGATTGAGTTCCGTAGCAGCAGTAACTGGGTAGGAAAAGGGTTTGCAGCTGTCTATGAAGGCAAGTCACATAAAATTTAAGAGTTCATTTCACTCCCCAGCCTCTCAACAGAAATGCTGTTTCCGTTGGTTTCATGGAAACAATATGGAAAGCTAATATTGCCATTACATAATCTTCTGAACCAATATGTTAATGTTCACAGGATGATTTTAATAAAAGTAACTCCATACATTTAAAAGGCAGGAACAACAGGTTTTCTAGTGTAGGTGATAGCAGTTGTGAAACAGGCAAGACAAAATAAGCAGGGATTGTGAAGTTTGCTTATGAAGCTATGAAATGTTGAGAAAAATTAGTATTTTTCTTTGTACTGATTTTTTAAAAATCTGTTTGGCCCTTGTGAAACACTCCATTCTAGGAAATTGCACAGAGAGTGATTGTACACAGTTGTAAAGCATGCTTTGTTTAAATGGGAGAGTCAGCAAGTGAGGAAGAATTTATTACACGCTTTGTTCTAGATTTCTTGAAGACAATGAGCCTGCATCGTGCTTCCTGGCCATAAAATAGCCTTTCTGGGCAGCTTGTGGGTGGATAAGCCCCTTCCCAGTACAGGAGATCAAGTAGTTTCCAAGGCAGGAGGTCCCCACTTCCCTTAAAATATTAAGTCAACCGAAGGACTTTGTTTCAAAGATTCACCTCCTGGCTGGGGAGGAGAGAGGGTTATTGGGCAGAAGTATGGATGCTGCATACAAGGCACACCTGCTGTTGTCAGAGGCCCTTGGGGTTCTGCCTATAGTAAAGTTTCTTTGCTAATCAGCTGTTTTACTTGTGCTTGAAAACGCAAGCAAGTATCTCAGGGAATCTAGCCAACTCAGACAACACATTTATAATGATCCTACAACTGAAAACAAAAACAGTCGATTTTAGTTCTAATTAGGACATCACTTCTCGACTCCTTGTCTGGTCATCCTCTCTTAAGTACAGTCAAGTGACTGTGTTTACCTCTAATCTGGACAACACTCCAGCTGTCCAGCTTTGCTTTTTCTTTATGACATGCTCTTTGCTTTCTCATAGGAACTGACCTGGAAGGCTGCCTTTGAAGAAAAGTGAAAGGAAACGTCATGCCGGGGCTTATTTCCTTGTTTGTTTTTACTCTCGACAGCTATCTGTGGAGGTGAGATACGAAAAAATGAAGGACAGATTCAATCTCCCAATCACCCAGATGACTATCGGCCAATGAAAGAGTGTGTGTGGAAAATAATGGTGTCCGAGGGCTACCATGTTGGATTGACCTTTCAGGCCTTTGAGGTAAAAAGTCTTTTCGGGGAACTTCATGGGGCATATGCTTTATAAATGACTGTAGCATTTATGGGACTCCTCATTAAGTCATCATAGAAGCAGAGAATCAGCCTTTTAATCAGTGGAGAAGCAGAGGGTAGCCTATAAAATGTAAGATCAAGCAGAGAAGTTTTTCTTTTTTTCCTTTTCACTTGTTGCAGACATTTGCAAGAAGATTAAAGTGAGTTTACATTAACTGTGCTATTTGGATTAGAATGTTTAAAGTGTTGACAATAGCTTTTGAAGCCTTTTTATTTTATTTTTAAGCATATGCACGGGCTTCTATTGTAAGACTTCTTGGAGGGTCCATTAAATCATTGAACCTTTATTTCCCCTCTAGAGTCTCTTTTATGTTACGTGGGAGAAAATAGTTTTTGCTTTTATTATGATTACAAACCTTATTTATATCAAACATAAAATTCTAAACATTCTTAGGACCTTTTAACTTCACTCAAAATAGTTGTCAATATTTGTGTCTTATTGAATAAAGCACCTGCCTGATAATCAGAGCTCTGATCCCCAGAACCCACATAAAAGCTAGGCAGGTGTGGAGGCCACCTATGATCCCAGCACTCCTGGAGGAGAGATTAGCTAACAGCAATACTGGATCTCTGGACTATCCAAAAACCCTAAATTCCTGATTAGCAAGAGACTCTGCCTCAGTAAACAAAGTAGAAAAGAATGTTGGAATGTACAGTGACATACACTTCTATCCTCTACAGGTAAACACACCCCAACACACACAAGGGCCCATCCACATACGAACACACATGCGAATAAACATACACACCATACATGCATACACATGCAAAAAATTGCCAGTGAGATCTGCAGCATTATTGTATCCCAAAGTAGAGAATTAGAATATAACTAAGACCAGTCAGATTATGGACCCAAATCTGACCATGACACTACTAATCAAGATGGTTAATAAATGTTTTCTCCCTCCCTCCCTCCCTTCCTCTCATTCCTGCCTTCCTTCCTCCTTCCTCCTTCTCCTTCCTGCCCTCCTTCCTCCTTCCCTCCCCTTCTACCTTCCTTCCTTCCTTTCTCTCCTTTCTTCCTCCTCCTTTCCTCCATCCTTTCTTTCCTCTTCCCCCTCCCCTCTTTCTCCTTTTCTTCCTCCTTCCCATCCTTCCTCCCTCTCCTTCCTTTTTCCCTTTCTTCCTCCCTCGCCTTCCTTCCTTCCTTCCTTCCTTCCTTCCTTCCTTCCTTCCTTCCTTCATTCCTTCCTTCCTTCCTTCCTTTCCCTTCCTTCCTTCCTTCCTACTTCAACTGTAGTACAATGAGAACTAAGAGAGGAAACAATTAGAAGCGAAGACGGGGAACCATTTTAAAGTTTCCACAGCATGTTTCAATCCATCAAAGAATCTACAAAGGGGAAACTCAAGGTGATGTGGGACAGACTAAGGACATGAGTGGTTGCTGTGGGTCCAAGCAAGTGTCGTAAATCCAGATGTCATGATGGAGGAGTAATTTTCTCCTGACCAGGAGAAGTCTGACCCTGTGCCCAAGCCATCGGAAGACAGCAGAGGCTCCCATGCACTGAGGCGTGGAGTGAGGCGTACTTTGCACTGAGAGCAGAGACAGGAGTCATGTGTTTGTTCCTGTAGTGGCAGTATCAGCGATATCTAGAAGGCATCTATGCAGTTAGATGTAATGCCAGCGCTAAAACTTCTCACAGGTTCGTGCGAGGGAATCTGAGGACTGAATAAAGATAAGACAGAGCCGAGGGTTGGTGGTGCACGCCTTTAATCTCAGCACTCCGGAGGCAGAGGCAGGCAGATCTCTGTGAGTTCGAGGCCAGCCTGGTCTCCAGAGCGAGTGCCAGGATAGGCTCCAAAGCTATATAGAGAAACCCTGACTCAAAAACCAAAAAAAAAAAAAAAAAAAAAAAAAAAAAAAAAAAAAAAAAAAAAAAAAAAGAAGAAGAAGAAGAAAGAAAGAAAAGAGATAAAACAACAGCTGGTCATTCTTGCAAGGGGAGAATGCAAGGGGAGTAAACTTATATACCAAACAGCAGTAACAGTGGAATTTTACTCAGGTCATGGGTACATGCCCTCAACCCCCGCAACAGGGATGGGGGGATAGTTTGCATTCTTGCATACAGGCCTAGTTGGAAGGAGGGGACAAGGAAGTAAATGCCTAGTCACCAGTCAGCAGACCCCAAGGGCACAGTGGGTCACCCTTAGTCACGAGATGATCAGCAGACCCCAAAAGGGTCCCAACAGTTAGAGCCTCTCTCAGATCACAGGATGGCCTGTGCTATCTGTCTTTGATACTCTTGTGTTCCCTCTTGCACCTGCTACTTTATCTCCCACATGTATCTCCTTTCATCAAGAAAAGTGAGTCTTTTCTGCTTCCAGCACATTGTTGTCTTTTATACTGCAGATAACTTCTCAACTGGTGAAATCTTGGGTTTGAAATTATTCACATAAGCATTTTGTTATTTTAATTTTAATAATAGATATCATTCAACTCTGCTAGCTTACAATGAACAATGAACTTATTTCTGTTGTTTCCACCTCCATTTATGTGCTGAACACATTTAAATATGTGATGAGCTTCTCAAATTAGGTGACTAAACCAGAAACCCCTGGCTACCTTGATTACATTCTAAACCCACTCAGAAGTATGAAACTTTTTTTTTTTATACGACAGCTCTTGCTTTCAGTGTTCCTCTGATTTTCTCTCTTTAAACATTCCTCTTTCTACCCTCTCATTTTATCTAGATCTCTGTTTATTTCTTTCCTTAAAATATATATGCCTGACAGTTCAATGTAAACCATTCTCTTATCCACAGTTATCTTTAAATTATCACAAAATTTTGTGCATTGCGATTATGACTACTTTATTTAAGCTAAGAATTTGTATATAGTTATGAGTTTGCTTTATGTTTCTCATTAAAATATGATCACAAGGAACAGAGGCCTTGCCTGTGCTATGAGTCACTGTATCTTTAGCAGCAATGGCTCTGTGATAATTTAAAATATGGATAGAAGTGTGTGAGTGCCCTATGTTCAGTGGTTTAATTTGATAAACCCTTTTTTGAGGAGAAGGATATGAATTTTAGTTAAGAGGCCCCAAGAATAAATAGATAAGTTAAATTTAGACCATGGAGGATATGGTGTGCTTTCTGGCTGAAGTTAGACCAGACACCTCAATTTCTAAAATATTCAGAAATGACAAAGACTTAAGTGTCTTGCTAAACCCCATGTCTCCTAGGGGAGGAGACCAATCCTGGATCCACTGAATTCTGTACCCATTAAAATGAAACAAGCATTGGTGTCCACACACAGTTGATTTTAGGTTTTCTTGCTAGTTTTCCTACTCAGTAAAAATTATGGAAGCCCCCAATCAGTATTCTATTTAGATCATTTTCGGGCACACATTCAGCACCTTGCAGGCACATTACAAGCTGTGATGTGCCTTACTAAGAGAATGTGTGTTAGATAAGCCTCATTTAGACATGAGTCATAGCGTTGTTGGCTGTGAGTTCAGTGTTAATGAATTGGCAATATAAATTAAAGTATCCTGAAATAGAAGTACACTTAAAATAAGATTGTGCAATGATTTGTTGATATAACATTGTATGACTAGAATCTCACAGATACCCAACACTGTTTGTCATGGAGCAATGAAACTGTACTTGTTAATTCACATGTTTTCAACAAGTTTATAGAATATAAGTAATTACAATACTGTGAGTAAAAGATCAACTGTACATGTTTTCCTTAACTGTTCTAGAAGGCATTTAGTTTCATTTATCTTATTATCCATTTCTACGGATCTATTTTTGTGTCAACATCTATTTCTTTGGGGCTGGAGTTTACACATGGGTTTGGTTTCTAGACTCCACATGGTTTCTATGACCCAAGATTACTGACTCCCACAGGCACTGGGCATGCATGTGGTCCTATATGCATGCAAACAATTACACACATCAAATAAAAATAAATAAATTTAAAATGGAAAGAGTTAAATACTATGTTTTCAATATAAAGATTGTACCTTTTTTCAATTTTTATTCATTTTAGTTTTTGAAGACTTCATACACAACTACTATAGCTATATCTTACCTATATTTCTTTGCCCTAGCTACTCCAATGTTCTTTCTTCTCTCTTGCTAGTTCATGTTCTTTATTTAATTATTATTGTCGAACACCACAGACACACACACACACACACACACACAGACACACACACACACACACACACACACACACACGAATACACAACCTACTAGGGGTATTTAGCATTGATTGTCTGCAGGAATATGTGTCCTTGGGTAACTATTTGGGATTGGGCAACCTATGTGGGAGCTCAGCCCTTGAGGAAACTGATTCTCCTCTCTTTGCAGCCATTGGCCACCATAGTATTCATTAAGGGTTGGGACCATGTGGAATGTCTCATTTCCCTGTTGGCATATCAACTGCTGTTGTCATTATGCTGTTCTCATTTAGGTAATCAAATTGTGATTTCTTCCTGTGATGCTAAGGACACATCTAGCAACAGGCATCCTAGGATTCTGGTCTTAGAATCTTTCTGCTTCTTCTTCCATAACATTCTCCTAGTCTTAGGTGTAGTGGTTGCATTGCTGAACTCTTGAGGTTAGAGTTGGGCACCCCGAAATTGCTTGTTCTCTGCATTTTGACCAGTTGTGGATTTATGTAATTGTCTCTATCTGTGGCCAAAAGAAACCTTGATGAGGACTAAGACCTACAATTAACTATGGGAATAAAGACAAATATTTAGAATATAGTTAGAAATTGTATTTGTTTAAAGACTATAACAGTAGTCAATTCTCATCTCAAGATAATGACCTCTCCAGTCAGATAGTTGACCAGCTTTACAGGTTGTGGCCTAAATTCCCTTCTATTGAGTGGACCTTAAATACAATTACAAGGTGTCTGGTTGCCCTGAGATAAAATTATTGTTATTATTGTTATTGATGATTACTTTCTCTCAGT